TTGTTTTAAATGCCTAAAAATGTTATATATATATAAGGCTCAAACACTAATATTCCATGGTTATAAGTGTTTGATCCTTTTATATTATAGTCTTACTCTGTCCTGGACATTGAGTTCTACCTGGATTCTATCCTCTTGGGAATTTATATATATATATATATATATATATATATATATATATATATATATATATATATATAGCCACTAATATTATCTATCTATATATATATATATATATATATATATATATTATTTAACGCATGCAAAGTTTCACCTCACAAGCTTCCCTGCTTCATAGTCAGCCTATGAATCATTCAGCGCACCCCCGTAACTTGACGAAGACACATTGCCGAAATATTTTTCGCATTTTCAAATACTGTGCCTTTTCCTTTTCTTTTCTTTAATCACATTATTTTCTTATTAATGATAATGAAAATTATACTGATTAGAACGTTCACTTTCCAAGCAGGATACCTTGGTTCAAATCTTATGGTCGATCTGTCAGGAATATGACCTTGATGTTATCGGCCTGTAGAGACGATCCCAGCGTGCAACACCATCGGAACGTCCCCGAATACCTGAGGTAGACCCAAGCCTTGTAAGTGAAACTGGGTATTTAAAAGTATTTGGTTTTGCTAGCAAGTCATAGTTTGAGCGTACTGGCTTTGTTCATACGCTTCTCTCCCAGAAGCTATAACTGAATCCGTTCAGTATAGATGCATTATAAAGCCCAAGCGAGCTCGGCCGCTATTGAACAAACAGAACAGGAACTGCCTAACCGTTCTAGCAGACGGGTTTACTCGGCCAGCCATTACTTAATAATAAGAACAACACTAATAAATGATATGAATAAATGTTTTGTACATCATACTGGAATATTCATACCGAGAGGCATAAAAACTAATAGACCAGACACTGCAATTAAATCATACACACAAACAATGCTTTCTCATAGATTTAGTATAAGGCAAAAACTATGTCCGTTAAAAGATGAGACTATATAAGTATATATAAAACAATCATGAAACTGAACGTGACATCATAAAACTACTTTTAAAACCCGATAATAATTGAAGCCTTGGCGTTCATAAAAAGAGTACAGACAAGCTTATTAATAGGATCCCTGGAAGCCTCTCTTTAGAAGGGATACAAAATATTGCATCGCGTGGAACTGCCCAAATGTTCAGGAGTGTATTTACAATATAACAAAATTATACAAACACTGTAAATGTTAAGTATCACTTAACATCAGAATTTTGCCATATAAAATTCATCTTGACTTAACCCGAACTCACCCGTATTGACCAGGTAAGAGATTGTACGAAATAACAATAATAATAATAATAATACACACTGACAGAACAATCAAAGCCAACCGCCCAGACATTGTTATTAGAGATCGCACACAAAACAGTGCCTCCTTATTTATATGGCAATATCTGCAGACTGCAATGTATCTTTGAAGATCTTCAAAAAGCTATCAAAATACAAGGACAATGAAATCGATATCTCAAAAATGTGGCATAAGGGATCATCAACAATATCTGTTGTAGTTGGAGCCCTCGGATTGGTAGGAAAAGATTCCAGTAGACTAATTGAAGGGATTCCTGGAAGCCTATGCCTTAAAGAAACCCAAAAGATTATTCTCACGAGTAAAGCCCACAACTTTATCTATGTAAGATATGTGTGTGTGTTTTGTCTTTTTATTTTAAATTGGTCAGTGGAAAATGTCATGATGCCATAGGTCTCTGGCTGGGACCCGGAAAGAAATGTGTAACGCACGAAAAATCTAAGGAAATAAATTAATAATAATAATAATAATAATAACAATAATGATAATAATAATAATGATACTGATGATGATGAAATTATAAACTTGGCGCACAAGGCTTTGCATGGCAAATACCTACCAAGAACGAAAGAAGCAGATGTGGACCAATGAAAACACATCAATGGCTGAGGAGCACTGGATTGAAATCTGAGACAGAAGGCTTGTCACATAATCAAGGATGGAATTAACATGCAGCATGAAACTGGTGGCTTATTACCTCAAGATGTCTGGAACTCGCAAAAAAAGGAATATATCCACAGACGTAACAATGGAAAGTATGTAAGGAGCACAAAATCGAAACCATTGAGAGCATCAACAAGACACAGTTACCCAAAATAACAATGTAACTTTCTTCTGGGATATGCTAAATTCAAACTGACAGGGGCATAAGTGCCAACAGACCTGATATTGACATAAAAGTCAAGAAATTCAGGAAGTGTATACTTATTGACATAGCAGTAAAATCTGAAAGAAACAACTCCATGAAAATTATCGTGAAATTGTCTAAATACAAGGACCTGGAGACCGAGATTAACAAGATGTTGGAAATGAAAATTGATACTTTACCAATAGCAATCGGAGCTCTGGGCCTTGTGAGAAATGGAATGGACAATTTTACTAACAGTTTCCCAGGTAACATCAATATACAATCTGTCCATATGTATGTACAATTTTAGTGAAAATTTCGATCACTATGCACAGTCATGTGGAATTATAAAATTAAGAAAAATGATGCAATATATGTTATCTACAACCAATTCTAGGAACAATCATGATCTGTTAAGTGCAGACTCTTGAGGTTTCAGGTTGAAACTTGGAGGCAGCACATTAAAGAAAGAAACAAACTCAAACAATAGCAACAACGGCAATAATAATAATAATAATGTTATACCTGAATGTATCTATTCTATTATTAATAGACTCTCCCACACATAATAAGTAGTAGTAGTAGCGGTCGCCAGTTGGGCTCAGTGGTGTTGAGTGAGTCAGTCGATGTCGGACATTGAAGTATCAACCATCACAACTAGATTGCTGCGTCATTAACTCTTATTTCAAGTTCCTAACGTTTTGTACGTCCGACCCTTTTAGGACCGACTTAGCGAAATACAAGCCTCCACTGTAAAAACTACTTTACAACAAATAATAATAATAATAATAATAATAATAATAATAATAAGAAGAAGAAGAAGAAGAAGAAGAAGAAGAAGAAGAAGAAAGAACATATTAGAACAAATTACAATATTTATCTACACCCTCAACTGTAAACCCGACCAATATTTTCTATAGACTCAAGTATAAACCCGATCAAATGTTTACTTACAGTCTCAAGTGTAACCAGGACCCATATTTATCTATAGACTCTATAAAAAATCCAATCAATATTTACCTGGACTCTCAAATCGAAACACGAACAAAATTTACCTATAAACTCAAGTAGAAACCTAATCTCTATCCTACAGTCTCAAGTAAAAAGCCAAAACACCGTTTACATATATGGTGAAATATAAACCTACTTTTTACTTACGTGCAGTCTGAAGTATAAATAAGACAATGTTTGAATCCCAATCAATATTTGCCTACTGTCTCAAGTATAAAATCTACTATTGTATACCTACAAACTCAAGTATACATCCGATCACGGTTTACCTATAGTCTCAAGTTTAATCCTGACAATGTTTACCTATAAGCTCAAGTATAATCCCGACCAATATTTTTATACAGTCTCAAGTGTAGCAGATATTTACCTATTGACTCGAATATAGATCCGACCATTTTTTTTTATCTAGAGTGCCAAGTATAAAATAGACCACTATATACCTATAGACTCAAGTATAAACCAGACCAGTGTTCAAATATAGTCTCAAATATGAACCTAAGCAATATTCACATAAAATCGATTATGAACGAAAAAGAAAAGATTTCGGCCAGTTGGGGATATCCGTACAATCCCACAGCCGAAAAAATAATTCTTTGTCAGATATTAATCAATGAATAAATCAATTATGGTCAATTAAACAGATCCGTCTATTTGCTTAAATAAATTCGCTTAAATAGAACTTTAAACACGTTATCTTCGGCAATCGTTTTTTTCCGGCCAGCGATAATTTCGATTTGAATTCTCTGGTTTAAAGGTCATTGCATAATATGACACGTCTGTGGCTGTGAATTTGTTTTGCAAAATGAAATTCTAAGAAGCCAATTATGTGTAAATGTCTTAACGTTGACTTCTTTTTTGTTTTTCATCTTTTACAAGGGTGGATGTAGAGGAGGGTAATGAAAAGGCAAAGGAAATGGAAGAGGAAGAACGAAGACATGTACGGAATTGATTTGCAAGGAAAAAAAAATGAAAGGAACCGGTTAAAAAACTAAAAAAAAAGGACGAAACAAATGAAAATAGTGAGATTGTGATAATGGAAAGTAAGGAAATAAAAAGAATTGATTGAATGATTTGAAGAAAACAGGGAAGGATAATGAATTCTAAAGAAAATTGAACTGAACAAAATTAAAGAAGAGCAAAACAATTTAAAAAGAGAGAAACACATAAACAAAGAAAGGAAGGGAGGAAGAAATAAAGGAGGAAAGAAAGGAATGGAACTTATAGATTAAGAGATAGAAAGAAGGATAGAATTTAGACAGGAATACAAAGAAAGAAAGAAAGAAAGAAAGAAAGAAAGAAAGAAAGAAACAAAGAAACAAACAAAGAAACAAACAAAGAGAGAGAGAGAAAAAATAAAGAAAAATAGACAGTAACTGTTATGGGGTCCACCCCTTTTTCATACAAGTGGACTCGACCAGTATGTACTTGGACTGCTGCCGTTAAATACCCAGAGTCAGTCAGAGTAGAGTAGAGATTGTGATTGAGTTGGAGGTAGAGTAATAGTGTGAGGTAACCCACAGTTACAAGCACGTAGACTCTAAGGAAGTCCTACATCGAGACTGGATTTACCAGACTATATATATATATATATATATATATATATATATATATATATATATATATATATATATATGTATATATTATATATTATTATTATTATTATTATTGCTACTAACCATATTTCTTGATTTACTAACCGTATTACCAATTGTATTATTGTGTAAATACATTTATTTGTTATATTTCATTCCTGAGTTTGTCATTCATTTGAGACCGGAATCCACAAGAGTATCAAAAATAAATAAATAAGAAAGAAAGAAAGAAGGAAAGAAAGAAAGAAAGAAAGAAAGAAAGAAAGAAAGAAAGAAAGAAAGAAGGAAAGAAAGAAAGAAAGAATAAGTGGGCTGGATTGCAATAAAAAAGAAGAAACGAATAGAGTTTATACTTTAAGGGATAGAAAAAGAAAGCTAAAACTATAGAATTTAGACAGAAATACAAAGATAGAAAGAAACGAAGAAAGGAAGGAAGGAGAAAACTGAAGAAGCAGAGACAGTAACATAAATAAATAAAGAAAGAAAGAAAGAAAGAAAGAAAGATAAAGTAAGTGAATTAGATTGTAACAAAAATCAGGGAGGTGTGGACCTTATAGATAAAGAGATAGAAAGAAGGAAATAATTTAGACAGGAATACAAAAAAAAAAGAAAGAAAGAAAGAAAGAAGCATAGACAATAACAAAAATAAAGAACGAAAGAAATAACCACTGAAAATTAAAGAAAGAAAAAAAGATATAAAGAAAGAGAGAATTTCAAAGTGGGCTAGACTGTAATAAAAAAAAGTAGAAAGGAAAGAAGCATATAGATTAAAAGATAGAAAAAATGCTAAAACGATAGAATTGAGACAGAAAGAATGTAAGAAAGAAATAAAGGAAGGAAGGAAGGAAGGAAGGAAGGAGGAGGGAGGGAAAGGAAGAGGGAAAATGAAGAACAGTAACAAAAATAAATACGAAAGAAAAAAGAAAGAAGCTCGTAAAGTAAAATAAATAAATATGTGAAGAAAGAAAGAAAGAAAGAAAGAAAGAAAGAAAGAAAGAAAGAAAAAGGAAGAAGAAAGAAAATAGATCAGATGATACTGCTGGGAAGAAAGAAAGAAAGAAAGAAAGAAAGAAAGAAAGAAAGAAAGAAAGAAGGTAGGTTAGAATGTAATAAAAAAGCCCAAACGAATTGAACTTATAGATTAAGAGTGAGGAAATGAAACCTAAAACGATAGAATTTAGATTGAAATACAAAGAAGGAGAGATTGAGAGAGAGAAAAAAATAAAGACGTATACAAAGTAACAAAAATAAATAAAAAAGAAAGAAGGTAAGAAAGAAGCTCAGAAAGCAAAAGAAAGAAAGAAAGAAAAGAATGAACAATAGACAGTAACAAAAATAAAAAAAGAAAGAAGGTTAGAAAGTAATATAAATAAATAAATAAATAAATAAATAAATAAAGAAAGAAAGAAAGAAAGAAAAAGAAAGAAAGAAAGATAATAATGAATCATGGATTGTAAAAATATAAGAAAGAAAGAAAGAAAGAAGCAAATAAATAATATAGAGGAATACAAAGAAAGAAAGAAAGAAAGAAAGAAAGAAAGAAAGAAAGAAAGAAGGAAAGAAAGAAAGAAAAAGAAAGTAAGAAAGAAAATAATGAATCATGGACCGTAAAAAATAAGAAGAAAGAAAGAAAGAAAGAAAGAAAGAAAGAAAGAAAGAAAGAAAGAAGTTTGGGAAGCAAAAGAAAAAAGAAAGAAAGAACGAAAGAAAGTAAGAACGATAATAATGAATCATGGATTGTAAAAAAATAAGAAAGAAAGAAAGAAAGAAAGAAAGAAAAAGAAAGAAAGAAAGAAAGAAAATAATGAATCATGGACCGTAAAAAATAAGAAGAAAGAAAGAAGTTTGGGAAGCAAAAGAAAAAAGAAAGAAAGAACGAAAGAAAGTAGGAACGAAAGAAAGTATTATTCATAGTCAATGAAAAAGTTTTAGAAAATAACTGAGATAAATAAACATAGATATTGAGTTGGGACAGAAAGAAAAAAAATGCTTACGAAATTGTAAGAAAGTACATATCAGAAATTATTAGAAGGAACGGAAGAAAGAATGAAAAAAATTATATGATAAGAGAAGAACCTTAGCCAGTAATAGAAAAAAGAAAGAAAGAAAGAATAAAAGAATCTAGAAACTTAGAAAATAACAGAAAATGATACTTCAAAAATAATAGCAAAAGAAAAGAAAGAGAAAGAAAGAAAAACAATATAGTGATGGCATAAAAAGAAAACAAGTATGACTGAAAGGCAAATAGAAAAGGAGGAGGAAAAAAAAAAACGATGAAGAAACGAAAGAAAATTTAAGAAACAGAAAGAAGTTGCATCAACACAACGAAAGAAGCAAGTAGTCCATCCCATAATATTTTAGAAAAGCTGCTGGGCCCCAAAATACAGAAGATTACCGGAGATTAGAACCAGCCGGATGCTTCGCCGCCGGAAATCAAAACCAAGTGATGCCGACTTGCATCAGCAGGACATGAAAATGCAAATGGCACCTGTGATATTTACGCCTGTGCAAAATTCACCAATAAGGATAATATCGTTTCATAAAAAAAAAACCCAAAAAACACAAAACTCAAAAAGGTTTCTTTCTCCTTTCACCGGGAGCCATTTTAAGATTTGTTATCTTAATAGTGTTTTCACTTTCTTTTGTTGTTCTTGAGAAAGATATTCGTGTATTATTCGTGTATTACGGAAGGCATGAGAGAAAACAGACCTTAAACAACTAGTTAGCAAATTTGTCTCTCAAGTGTACAAATAGATACACATGTGAACGTGCATATGAACTCGCATACGGAATGAGGATCGTGCCCTCAATCTTGGACATATTATAAAATCGGGACCCGTTCAGAAGAGGACGTACCAGAGAGGCATGCACTTGATGATAGACGAAGGAAAATGGACCAGTCCGGTGTTATATTTCGGGTCTCAAAAGTCCAAAGAGCAAGCAATCCATCCCATAATATTTTTTAAAAGCCGCTGGGTTCCAAAATACCGAAGATTACCGAAGATTAGAACCAGTTTCGTGTTGCAGTCTCAAAAGAAAACAGCAACACAAAAGTTAACAGACGCATTTGCATAAGAAGTTTATCTAGTTTTACCGGCAAGCTTACACCTGAAGGTTGAACAGGCTTAGGAGAATATTATCGATTTAAGGAAAATGGACTATGCATTTTATGTGCCGTTGAACATCAAAATTTGTAAGAAGTGCGTATATTTACTAGCTTTTCTTACCTCAGATCCCAGTTAATGACCGGGAAAGTGTTTGTACTAAAAAAGAGTCAAATAATAATAAAAATAATAATAATAATAATTAAAATTTCAAACAAACTTCCGGGACAAGGCTTTGAGTGGCAAATACCTAAAAAGAACGAAAGAAGCAGATGTGGACCAACAGGAAATACGTCAGTGACTGAGGAGCACCAGGTTGAAAGCTGAGACAGAAGGTCTAATTATGGCAGCTCAGGACCAAAGCCTCGCAACCAGATCCTATCAATGTCATATAATCAAGGATGGAACTGTACATGCAGGATGTGCGGAAATATGATAAAACTGTCGACCATATTACCTCAAGATGTTCGGAACTCGCAAAAAAAATGAATATATCCAGAGATATATCAAGGTAGGGACATATGTGTACTGGAAGATATGCAAGAAGCACAAAATCGAAACCATTAAGAGATGATATGAGAATCAACCAGAAACAGTTACCCAAAATAACGATGTAACTATCCTCTGGGACATGCCAAATCCCTGTTGCATTCAATCTGCCCGTGAGTATCAGATTTTCCAGTACCTCTTTTCTCATTGTGTACCCCCAAAATCTCAACTGTCTATTCCTGATGTTAATTATTAGTTTCCTTTTTGTTTTCATTTCCTCTAAAACATTGTCTTTTCTCACATATTCGGTACATGGTATCCTCATCATTCTTCTGTATAAATATATTTCTCTTCGTCATCTTTGAAGAGTTTGTCCAGCATTCAGTGACATATAAGATAAGAGGTTACACGTGGCAATTCAGTTCACTTTTTCTTTGTTTCTAAAGAAATTTTTATGTTTCTTAATACTTTGCTTAGCTTTAGGCATGCGTCTTTAACTATTCCAATGCGCCTTCGGATTTCCATGCCAAACTTTCCGTTCTCTGTTAAAGCACTTCCCATGGTTTCCTGTTTAGGAAGGGGGTCCTGGTTACTTTCTTCTTCTGGGGCCTTAATAGTGGTGCTATCATTTTATTTTTGTGATATGTGGGGATAGTGGCTACGGGTTGGCAGTTTTTTGGTTGTTGCTTCCCATCTGGTAGCTAGGAGCTTGAACTCATGCGAAGTGTCTAGAGAGGCTGCTCTGACCAACAGTCGAATAATATCGAGATTCTTGCAGTGCCATATCATGCATTAAATGGGTGGTCCTTTAAGCACGTCCGGTGGGAAACCCCAAATTTGCAGTCTGCGGCAATTTCCAGCCCGCATATGCTAACTTAGACGACCCGTTTATTTAGTCCACGGGCGTAGATTTTTCTAATTACATGTGCCATGTCTTTTTGGGATATCTTCGTAGGAATTAAGTTGCTATCTCCAAGTTTTTTGTTCCCTTTGCTGTGGCCAGGTATTGAACGCTTAGTTCTTTGGGTCAAGTTAATTTTTGGATTACTTCAACCAAAACCTTTATCCACTGGGCCATCTGTCCTTATGGAAACGTCGTGAATATGGAAATAAATATAAATAAAATAACCCGAACGATATAGATAGTGTTAATAGTAACAATACCTCATCTCAGAAATATAGACTTATCCTGAAGAAGGCCTGGGCGTTAGGCATCTACTATTAATCTCGGCCTTTTCCGAAACTAAATAACATATTATTACGATAAGCAACCAAGGAAATACAATGAAAGTTCAGTGTGGAGTCGATCCTCTTCGAACAATAGCGGTACATTCTATTTCTCTTTATCGAAACTGATCTTAATTCTTAAATCCTCTCCTATGAATTCTCAATTCTTGGCTATCTTTCTCGCTTTAGGAAGGAATCTAGTGTCCACATACATGAGCTGAGAGTTTATGTCTGGAAACATCTCTCGCTGGCACGGGAACTGTCTCTTGTGACTCCAGACCAATCTTACATGTGTCTCCGTCTTTCTCTACTAAATCCAGTCTTAACCTGTTTTTTCTTTTAACTTCCTCTGAGGACTGTTGAGTGTTGCATAGTATTTCTGATAATACAGATAAGACCGTCCCTCTACACCCATTGGCAAATATATTTGTGTTCGTTGACCACAAAGACAGGGGGCTTAATCATTCTGTCACTAATCTCGTTGGCGTCCAATACGCTGAACTTCTCTATCACTCAATCACCAACGAAAATGGTTGATTTCCTCACGTTTTCTTCAGTAATCCTGATGGATATGCTTCTCTTCTTGAACATTTATTTACTTCTACCCCTGACTCATGCCGTACTCTGCAACCCTGCCCTCTTGGCAACTATGATCATGCGGTAGTATCTGTAAACATCTCTTTCCGCTCTCCCATCAGCTAAGAACATCTTACAAAAAGAATATCTTTTTATCGACGCGTTGATTAGGACTCATTCCGTGTATTCTTTCGCGAAGTCCCTAGAATTGAAGTTTTTAATCATCCAGTTCAAAAACGTGCCTCTGAGGTCGCCGACATCGAAGTTTTCATTCCAACATGGAAATACCAAGTGAAACCACGATAATCCCCTTTGTTCTCACCTGTATGCTCGGCGTATATAGTCCGCAAGAATCACTTCTTACTGTAACAGAGCGACAGGTCTGATTGCAAGAGCCATCATTTGTCTTTTTGAATCACGTTTATATTTTGTTCGTGGCTCAATCCCCTCTATTCCCAGTCTTGTCTCTCACTTTCACTCCATGTAACTCTCTGCGTACTAGTGACATCCTCACCCTGTTTGCGATGAAATTATTATAAAAGAATTAAACAACAATAAAGTTTGATCTGGCATGATTTACTACTCGACAACGACGGATTTCACAGTAAGCAAGGCTTCTTTTACATATTATTCTGGCCAAGTGGTAAGATCAAACGATAGTTTCCACTACGAAGGGGGACTCAGATTTGATCACATTCGGAGGGGGCATCATCTTCACAAAGATTTCCTGAATATGCAGGCCAATAGAAACAATAATGTAAGAAAAATGTCGAATTAAACAAATCCATTAACTATATTTATAAATATATATATATATATATATATATATATATATATATATATATATAAAATATATCTTATAAATTAACTGATTTAAAATATGTTTTTCGCTACACAGTAATAACCGTGTTTCAAAAATGGAAGCTAAAAACTTTTAAATTTAATTTTGTAATGAAATTATAAACATTAGTTCCATTTCATCCTCAAGCGAATTTTTGGAGTAACTTATTTTTAAATTTACTGAGTTTTAACAACAAGGAAATTCACAAAAAGATTACAACGATCTAATAAATAAGGTGTGAATTATTATATATATATATATATATATATATATATATATATATATATATATATATATATATAAATGTGAACATTGAAGGAACAACCAGAGACAACAGTTTCTTTCATGCAAAATGCAATTGTAAGGCCTTATATATATATATATATATATATATATATATATATATATATATATATATATATATATATATATATTCCTGACGATTGAATTAGCATGAAACACACTGTCATCTCTGGGTGTTGACCTCAGTGTCTACGTTTTCACACACACACATTTATGTATATATAATTGCGTATTTAGGCAGCAATCCTTCATTTATGCATGTTTCATTAAAAACGATAGTCAAGGCTCTACGATTAAGATTTTTATTTAATTTTTCTTGTGTTCGACGTTTTATTTCTTTTGCGTTCTTTTTGTTTTACCATATCTTCTTTT